AACAAAAGAGGCCAAAGAAAAGACAAACTAAAATTAAGACTCAATAAAAAAAAGGAAGCACACAAAAGAGTAATCCTAGAATGGCACTAGAATGGATTAGTGTTTAAGCCACTTGCTTAAGTCTTTTAAGTGATTCGGTCCAGCCACTCTTAAGGTCTCAAAATAGGGTCAAAATGTCACAAGTCCAACTCCCAAATGCATAGGGAAAGGTCCAAGTCCACAAGTCTAGCAACAAGTCTTTTTTGGTCCAAAAAAATTTTTTAATTATTTACGTGATTTTTGGTTTTCCAAAAGCATTTTGAACGGTTTTATTCGCGCCAAATCCTTAACTTTCCATTATTCTTCAGTTGAGTAACCTCTCCCCACTCAGAAACGTGTTAGGGCTTTAAGAACCTCCAAACCCTCTCAATTTTCCATATACTCACATTCTCTCAACTCAAAAACCCTAACCTCTTCATCTTTCTCATTCTCTTCATCTCTACCAAAACCCAACCATGGCTTCTTCCTCCAAAAGACCCAAGAAGCTAGAAGTGAGGGGGAGCAAGCGTCCTCTGCCCTCAGGGTAACTTATTTCCAAATGGTTTGCAGATGAGAAAACCCAGGAATATTACTTCAAGTGGTATGCGGGTCGGAGAATCATCCCTCCCAAAACCCTGAAGTTGAAATGGTTCAAAAATGAAGGGTTTAGCTTCCCTACTCTGCTAGAGCACCAAGACCTTGGAAAGTTCTTGGAACTGGAAGGACCCTACTACCCTGAGATGATAAGGCTGTTTCTCTACTTTGCTACAAGCAATGAAGGGATAATACAATCAGTTGTGAAGGGCAAGCTGATAAAGCTTGACGGACCAACCATGAAGGCGGCTACCGGGCTGAGTGGCAATGTGAGTACCAAACCCCAACCCTTCAACTTTGGTGATTTTGAGCAGCTGACAACCTTCAGAGACTGTCAGACAAATCCTGCGCACACCAATTACAACCAATTCTTGGTGGGAGGTATGAAGAAAAATTCCCATTTAATTTCTTTGATTATTGCCTGGATGCGTAAACCGCGTTTGCACAACCATGCTCAAATGTCAAGGGATGAAATTTTGCTGATGCATGTTATTAAAAAGAAAATTAAGATTGCTTGGGTGTCGGTGGTGAATGACTGTATGTGGAAGGCCAAAAGTAAAGAGGATGGTCCAATTCCTTATGCTTTATTGCTATCTAAGATTTTTGAGAATGCAGGGGTAGACTTGACAGGGGAGAAGAAGATTATTCTCCATGCCTCTAACAAAATTGAAAAATCTTCCTTGCATCACATGGGGATGCTAAAATAGGAAGATAAGTGGGTATTTAAAGGAGATGTCCCTCCAACCCCTGAATCGACAACAGATGAGGATGATGTTCCATCTCATGATGAGGACCAGCCACCACAGGTTGAAGCTGAACCTGATAGAGAGCAAGAGGCGGAGCCTAAACCATTCTCTCCATTCGAGAAAATTATGATTAATAAACTTGATGCTGGTATGGAGATGTCTAGAAGGCACGAGTCAATATATTCGGGTATTCTTGATCGATTTGATACCCTTGATCATGAAATTAATCGACTTAAGACTCACCTTGGGATGCTTGAGGACTCAAAGTGATTAATGTTATGTTTTTTTTTAATTAGGAAGTTTAAATTTCTGGTTTTTAAAATTTCAATTTCGATTGGGTTGTAATCACTTTAATTTTGTTACCATTTTATTGCTTTATGTTGTTGAACAATTTGATTTCAGTTGGAATTTGAATTTGAATTTCTGATATATTGTGTTTGAATGATTCTGATTTGGTTTATTGGTAGTGTGATGTTCTGTTTTGCACATTGATATATGGTTCTTTGATGTTTGGTTGGCATATTTGATAATGATTTTGGACTCTGAATTGTGAATTGTATCTTGTGATTTTGGCTAACCAATTCATGTCTTTGTTGCTAATCTGATGCTTATGGCTTGAATATTATGATTCAAGTTCACAAAGTTTTTTTGGTTGAGCAATACCTATGTTAAGTTAAATCAGTTCGTGTGGTATTGTTCTGAGCATATAAGGAGTATGCATAAACCTCATAGTTGTGTGTTGTGGACATACATAGCTTGGTTTGTTTTTGATGATGTCCAAAGGGGGAGAAAGGTTTTGTGTTGAGTTTGTTTTGCAGGTTTTGAATATAAAAAAAAAGGCAAAGCAAAATGGACAAAGTGGCATAGCTTAGCTTGGTTTGTCATCATCAAAAAGGGGGAGATTGTTGAGATTTGGGGAGATTGAGATTGTTGAGATCACCTCTAGAGATTAAAGGTTTTTATGATAACAAATGTGTGGAACAAAGCTGACCAAGGACATCAACAACTTAAAAGTCAAAAACAAAGTCAAAGAAAAATGTTATGTAATAGGAGTAGTTTATAGATTGCTTTGATTGAGTTTATTTTTTGTGTGTGCTTTGTGCATGAGCTAATCTTTCTCTAATCCGATTAGGGGTGTGTATGATGATGAGTTTAAAAGGTTAAAAAGTTATTTTGAGACTTAAAATAAGAATTTTGAAAACTAACTCAAAATAATCGATTATCATTAAATATAATTGATTATTCCTGCAACACGTAAAAACGATACCTTGCCGCAATAATCGATTAATTGTGAAATAATCGA